AAAAATAAAAAAAAAAAAAAAAAAAAAAAAAAGGCAAAAGGCAAAAACAAGCCAAATCAGCTAAGTCCTTCACTTCTCCTTATCCTTCTCCAGAGCAAAGAACAGAACGGCGCCTAAAGCCTAAAAAGAAAAAAAAAACTTCCCTTCTTGCAGCTTAAGTCGTTGGCTTTCCACCGGCCCCCCGCGACCTCTCACTCCTTCCGGCGTCTCTCCGGTTACAAAACTTTCCCGTGTTTTCTCGGCAACCAAACAAGGTACGATGTAAACTTGAAAAGAATATAAAAGAAAACTGAAATTAAAAACGAAATTTCATCTGAAAAGCGAAAGAAGTAGTTCTTACCCGTGCGTTTCTCTGAAGAAGATTGGGACTAGCTGAGAATTGATTGTTCTTTTTATGTTTTTTCTTTTTGGGCTTGTTGTTTTGTTTATACGTAATGGGTTGTTTTCCAATCTAGGTTTTTCCTTTAGTATTGACGGAAGAGAATTCTATGGCTTGTGAAATCCCTGGGCAAATAGGAGAAAGAAACAAAAAACTTGATTCAGTAGCAAAAATAGGAGCAAATTAATTGAGTCAATGAGGTCGAAACCTACCTTGAACGCTCATTGTTGTAGTTCACTTGTAACTAGTCAAGGCTGGAATTTGAATATGAAAATTTTATATATTCCATCACAAGAGGCAAAACAGAAAAAAGCATCCGCACTTGCGTGAATTAGAACAAATGTTTAAGAAGATTCAAAACCTACTTTGAGAACGGAATATCCAATTGGCAGCAGCGATCATAAATATTGCGTCCCTACAAAGTATAAAGTACCAAGAGTGTTAAAAATCACTTTTAGAAACCAAACAAACAAAACCTCCATTAGAACTAACTTGAAAAGTAAACTTGAGTAATACCTGCCGAGTAGTTCGAGCTGCAACAGCACTCTGCCGTTATTGATACTGAAGGAGAGCCTGAAAACCTAGAAATGAATGGTGCTTGAGAGGATGTATTTGGGTCTATATCAATTAAATATGAGAAACAAAGGATGGGGATTCTCTTTTGAAAAATGTTTATGTTCTCTGAACATAACATTTTAAGGCTAAGAAGAATGTGGGAACGAATGGCCATGGAAGTTTTGAGTGAAATGGTTTTTGAACAATGGGATGTCTCTCCGCGAGGGTGCTCCTTAAGTGTAATATTTGCATCTAATATGTGAAGAGTTCATGTGAGATCATGGCATTAAATTTGCATCTTATGTCAAAGTATTCAGTTTGTTTATTTGAGAAAGAAATGAGAAAAAAGAAGAAGGGAAAGAACGAAAATGTGAACTGCGCTTAATTTGTATAGCATTAAAACAGGATAGGAATCTAGTACACTAAATTTAGTATGTAAAGTTTAGTAAGTTAAATTTTATTTTTTGATGTTGTCGCATTCTAAATATGGTATATGCATTACTCTTTACAATGAGGGATTCATCTTAAGACTGTTAACTTTTATTGTTTAGAAACTGGTTGATGCTAATATGGCGCCAAAGCGGACCACACCGGCCTCCTCTCCCCCTCTGACACAACGTCATCGATATGGGGAGCCGTCGGTAACAGAGTCAGAGAGAAACTCAGAATGAATAAGTGGCACTCCACCCCAGGCGGCCTATGAGAACATCCTGCCACTTCTAGCACTACCATGCTAAACACTCGAAGCTGGTTGGAAACACCGCAATCACAGACCTCAGAACCATCAGTAAGTTTTTGCCTCTCTACTAATTTTTAAGTAAATTTTAGTTATTTGATTAGAAATGCGGAGTTAGTGGAAATGAAGGCGAAGTCCTTTTAAGTGTGTTGGCTCTATTGTTAATCAAATAAGTTTCGCAATTTGTCAGTCAAAAGTAGATGTAGAAACATGATGACTGAAAAACTGCATTTTTAAGCCATATGTGTAGTGCGTAAGATTTTGACCAATTAGTATGTATAACATTATTATTGCAGGATTGCGATGTTCCCCGACCTAAAATCAAATTACCTTGGCACCGCATGAACTTTAAATGTAAAATAACGACAAAGTGCCCCTTGGCCCACACTGTAAATGTTATTAGGGGTAAATGTTATTAGGGAAGCCTTAAACGATCATTCTTATGGGATGCAATGGTTTATGGAGTCTTAATTCGGCCATCTTTTTTCTGTTCCCGAGCACCTTGACATGAGTTTAATGGCATTGTGAATGTTGAAATGCCGTGAGGTCGTGACGGGAAAGGAAAAAGAAATTTGGTTTTTTTCATCTGCAGAAGGCTGACTTTTATATCATATTGTGGATTTATCTAAATTACGTTTTGTTTTTTGACTTGTAGTCGTGGCCAAGTATAGTTTGGGTATGTTTCTCCGTTCTTACTGGCACCGGTAAGAACTATCAGAAATGCCTGAGAGGCCAACTGGCCAAGTATGGTTTAGGTATGTTTCTTACCGTTCTTACCGGTACCGGTAAGAACAGTAAGAAACGACCGAGAGAGTATGAATGGACTGTTATTTTCTTACCGTTCTTACCGATACCGGTAAGAACAGTCCAAAACGGCCGTGAGAGCATGAATGGATTCTGTTATTTTCTTACCGTTCTTATCAGTACCGGTAAGAACGGTTAGAAACGGCCGAGAGAGCATGAATGGATTCTGTTATTTTCTTACCATTCTTACCGGAAGAACGGTCAGAAACGGCCGAGAGAGTATGAATGGATTCTGTTATTTTCTTACCGTTCTTACCGGTACCAGTAAGAACGGTCAGAAACGGCCGAGAGAGCATGAATGGATATATAAGAAAGGTTAGTAATGCCCAAGGATATATGTGGATTATGTTTTATTCTCGCCCCTCGAATTGGTATCGGTAAGAACGATCAGGAAAGGCATTTCGATTTTTGAGTGTTTCTTACCGTTCGGACTGGTACTAGTACGAACAGTCAGAAAAGGCGGAGATGCCAAATATGGTTTGGGTATGTTTCTTACCATTCTTATTGGTACCGGTAAGAACAGTAAGAAACGTTACAAAAGGAAACCGTTCTTTCTTACCGTTATTATCGGTACCAATCTAACAGTTCATTTGGTTCTGCACAAATCTAAATGGTAACAAAATAATCAAGAAACCTAAAGATATTTGAATATATAAGGATGGATGCATTATTGGCGCAATGTATCCCCATACGACCAACATATGCCATAACTTCTTAAACATAGTTTTGTCCAATGTATCACCATAAGACCAATATTTTGTAGAGAATATAGGAAATGGAGGCAAGGAAAACAGATAACAAAAGAGGGTTTAAGCCTTTGAGGCATATTAGAAATATTTTCTTTTAAAGTTTTATCTGTCTTATTGTCTCATTTTCTGTTTAAATAATAATATATCATATTAGTAAAGTTCATGTCTAAAACAGTAAATGTACAGAATGACAAAAAAGTAATGGTAGCATTTTTCTTTTACAAAATACAAAAGGAAATATTTAAGTGGAGACATGTCTGAGAATAAAGATTTTCATAGAGTAAATTAGAAGAAAAGAGAATTTCAATAGAGCAGATCTAAAAAAATACAAGATTTTAGAAATTCGTACATGTATAAAACGCTCAAAGAGGCTGCCCGTGGTTTCGTCCTAAGAGCATGAAACATCTTGTGAGAGGGGAGGATGAAACGTTTCGTCTCTCTTTTTTTTCTTTTTCTTTTTTTTCTTTTTTTGCTTTTCTTCTTTTTTTTTTTTTTTTTTTTTGGGTTCCCTTTGTTTCTCATTTGTTTGTTTAGTCCTTAATTTTTATTTTTCCTCTCACATTCCTTTCTCGTTTCCTTCTTTACTCCTTAACTTTTATTTTCCTCACACTTTTATTTAATTTTATTATCATTTTAGTCTTTGTATTTTGTTTTTGATTTCTTTTGCTTTTCTTCCTTTTTTTTTATCCTCCATCCTTTTCTATTTGTTTCTTTGATCGCTCTATTTTTTTCCTTCTTTTTTTCTTTTTGCTTTCTTCCTTTTGTCTTTTTTTTGGGTCCTTTTTTCCTTTTTTATTTGCTGTTTCGGTCCCTTATTTTTGTTTTTTTTTTCTCACCTTTATTTAATCTTATCATTTTTTTCACCACTATACATTCTTGTGTTTCTACATTTTTTTATCTTTTATTTTTTCCTCCTTTTGTTTTTTTTTTGTCCTCCTTCCTTTTTTAATTTGCTTCTTTAGTCCCTCATTTTCATTTTTCTCCCACGCTTCTTTAATATTATCATTTTATCCAATATACATTCTTGTTTATTTTCTTTTTTCAAATGTCATCCTCATAAATAATTTTTGGATTAATTTCAAAAATTCCTCTTGAATTATCATTCTTATAATACCTTGTCTCCTGATTTTTAAAACGTAATATTCGTTCCTTATGAACAATGAAATGTTAACAAAAAAGACCACTTCGTTAGGTTTTAAACTAAAATTGATATTTAATTTTCTATTTTGAGGTTATTTTGAAAATTTTTTGGTTTAAATTTAATTTGAATTTAAACTAATTTAAATATTTAAAAAAATAATAATGGATGTATCATAATGAAAAGTTTAAATTTAAATTAGTTTTAAATTCAAACTAAATTTTAAACCATTGAGCTACTAAAATACCTTAAAATAACAAATTAAATGTCAATTTTTGTTAAAAATTAACGGAATGGGCTTTTTTGTTAACATTTCATTGTTCAGGGGAAACAGATGCTGCGTTTCAAATATTGGAGAGTATAGTGTTACAAGAGTTATAGTTCGAGAGAATTTTTGTAATTATTCATATTTTTTTCTCTCACTGTCTTGGTGAAATAATTTTTTGTATTAGTTGTGTATTAACTAACAACTAACTAAGATTTTTGTTATTAGAAAAACAAATGGTGCGTTTGGAATTGGTTCCAAAACGTTTTTGTTTTTTGTATGAAAATGAAAATAAAAACGTTTTTATTTTCATTTGGGAATCATTTCTGAAAATGCGTTTGGGAATTTTATTCTGAGATTGTTTTCAATTTTAAAAAAACTAAAATTACATTTGGTAGTTTAATTTTTAAAAACATGTATATAATATTAAAATTAATAATATATTAAATAAATATATTAAATAAACAATCAACCCATTTCCTTACTACCTCATCAATCAACGGAGACGAGTGGGGGGAGGGGGGCGCAGTAGGAGACGCGTGGGGGGAAGGGGCACTGTGCGCGCAGTTGCAGACGTCGACTGGATGAGCGACTGTGGGCGTTCTCCGCGTCTTCTTCGGCTGGAGAAGAGAGAAGAAAAAAAAATTGAAATCCGTTTTCAGAAAATGAAAACGTGAAAATGAAAACGTATTTTTTTCGTTTTTAGTTTTTCACAAAAAGACAAAAATTTTTTTTTTTTTTTTTCTAACACAAACTTCGCCAAACGCGTTTTTCATTTCTGTTTTCAATTTTTTACTTCGAAAAATGTGAAAAATAAAAACAAAAAGGGTAACAAACAGGCCCAAAAGTAATAACACAATAATCAAAACTGAATACAAGGATAAAACGTACAAAATTACCGTACGCGCATAGAGCATGGCCTCAAATAGTCTATAACATACATAAATTTATAATCTATAATTTATAACGTACATAAAAGAGCCAAACTCTCTTTCCATTTTTCTTCTCCATTTGCCATTTCCCACTTTTTTGTGTTTTTTTTATTACAAATTGTATTTTTCTGTTCCTAAGAAGGAAATTGTCTTTTTCTGACTGGAAGTTTTGTTATTGTTGGTTTTGATTTGGTTATGGTTATCATAAAAACTATATGGGAAATTAATCTTTAACTGTAATTGTGGCAAAAAGTAGTTGATTAGGGTTTTCTTCCAATTTGTTATATGGGGTTGCAATTTTTTTTTCTTGGGCTGCAGACATGGAAAGAAAGAAAGAAATAATGGTTTCAAATGTGTGCTTACTCAATTTTTTTTTATTTATTAAAATCACCTTTACATTGTTATTATTTTTCTGGCAAAACTTATGATATGACACGCATTTTTGTACCACTGGTAAAAACTAATGTTTTAGCCTATAAATTAACTTTTCAATGGCCTGATATGGAGTACGAACAATTTATGTGACTCGTTGTAAATATTAATCTAATTTATAATCTATTAGTCTATTAACTATTAAAATAGACAAATATTCTTTCTCTTAAAAATGCCACGCGGCAATCCATCACCCTTTTTCTCTTTTTTATATTTTTATATTTTTTTCATTTTTAAAATATTTTATTTTGTTTTTTATATTTTTTAAATTTTTGTGAATGTTTTTTTGTAGTTTAATTTTTCATGCGCAGAAAATTCTACACGTGTCTCAACTAGCATACATAACATAATAAAAATATAAAAATAATAAACCGAATACTTACAGACAAAAAAAAAAACGAAAAGACATAATAGAGGGACAATAGCAATTAGCAGTAAAAATCCGTAGCTTAATAAAAAATGCATTTAAACGTGGGTGCATTTGAGCCAAATTGTTTCAGTAGGGTAATTAAAAAAATGAAGACCGTAATTGGATAAAATGATATTTTATAGGGTTGTAAAAAATAATTTTTAAATGAGGATATATTTGGAAAAATAGATGCTTTTAATAAAGCATTAAGATTTTTTTTTTTAAAAAAAAGTGATAGATCATATAAAATATCTATTTTTTTTTTTAAAAAAGCAACCAAATAGTTAAACGTCCTATACAAGAATTCAAGAAAAGAATTCAAAAATTTTTTTTAAAAAAAGAATTCAAGAAAAGAGTAAATTTAAAATAAAAAAAATAAAAAATAAAAAACACTGCCCTCCCCTCTTTGGAGCGGCGTCGTTTTCGAAACCGGAAACCCTACCCTCCCCTCATATTCTTCATCTCTCTCTTAGTTTTCAGTCTCGTCAGTCTCCTCTCTCAAAAACCCAGCCCGAGTTTTCGCTGGTTCGCCGCGCCGCCCATTTTCAGAGGTTAGAAAATTGAGCTTTGTTTCCCTTCACTTCTCCGTTCGGTTTTCAGACCGGAAACCCTACCCTCCCCTCATATTCTTCATCTCTCTCTTAGTTTTCAGTTTCGTCAGTCTCCTCTCTCAAAAACCCAGCCCGAGTTTTCCGCTGGTTTGCCGCGCCGCCCAATTTCAGAGGTTAGAAAATTGAGCTTTGTTTCCCTTCACTTCTCCGTTCGGTTTTCAGACGGTTCCGTTTGTTTTTCATTCCGATAAAATCTGATTTGTAATTTTATCCTGTTGTTTATAATCTGATTTGTAGGATCAGTTTTTTTTATTATTTCTTATATGAGAAATCAGTTTGGTACACAATATAAAATATAGCTGGGGCTTTGTAATAAGTTTTCTAAGTTCGGATTTTCTTGTTCATCACTTTTTTTTAACTCTTTTTTTTGTGTTTGTATTAGGTTTAGAAAGATATGAGGTTAGAGAAGTGTTGGTTTTGTTCCTCCACCGTATATCCGGGCCACGGTATCCAGTTCGTCCGCAATGATGCAAAGGTGCTCTCTTTTTTCCTTTTTTCAAAATTTAATGTTTTTTCTTTTTCAATTGTGAATTCGTCTTAATTTTTTTGTTGGGTTCACATTTATGGGGTTTTCCTAGTTTTATTTATTTTTTCTTTCTTTTCTGGGTTCATATTTTTGGGGGTTTTCTTGCCTGGTAATTCAAAGTGATCTTGAAAACTTCTCACTGGTTACTTGTTGATTTTTGGCCATGTCAGTTTATGAGCCTAACAATAAAAGAAATTATCAGTTGGCATAAGCAACTTGCGGATAGCTGAGCATGTCTTCTTAACCTTAGATATTTTTCTTTCGGGGATATTTATCATGGGTGCGATAGTATAGTTCGTGAGCTTTATTTAATGCTTTAAGGAATTTTACTGTACGGGCTTGTGCAATAACAAAATTACTCTTATTTTATTTACCATGAAGTTGATTTTGGGTGCCTTTTAATTCCTTGTAGAATTTTGACAATATGGGTTTGTGCAATAACATAGTTACTCGTTGGTTTCACAATAGAGTTGATTTGGGTGCCTTTTAGAGCTATGTGGTTTACTTGAGAACTCTATTTCTTTTGCTTTGTGTTGGTTTATTGTATGTTTCTAGCGCCGCTTGTTTTTGTTGAGTCCTGACGACAACAAGCGGCACTAGAAACATAGCTCGGGAATGAGAATCTCTTTTTGGGATGATAAATGGTTTACTCCATGGTTGTTTAGACTTTCTGATTTCCAATCTGCTTCTATTTCTGATATTTGTTCCCTGTCTCTAAATAACATGGTCACTTGGAATTTTGGCTTTAGGAGAAACCTTAATGACAGAGAGATGGCCAGTTTGAATTCCCTTCTTTGTGCACTTGAGCCTTTCTTTCTTTCACCGTCTATTCCTGATTCTATCGTTCAGTCTTGCGATCCCTCTAGCATCTCTTGCAAATCTTTCTTTCGTTCACTCACTATGGAAATGGAAGCCTCTAATTTTGAACCTTTTAAATTCATTTGGAAGGCCAGTGTTCCCCATAGGATAAAGGTTTTCATTTGGTCGGTCTTTCTCAGAAAGTTAAATACTTGTGACGGGTTGCAGAGGTAGAATCCGCATATGAGCTTCTTCCCATTCTAGTTTGTCTTGTGTAAAAGAGATGAGGAATCAATTGATCATCTCTTTTTGCACTATAAGGTGGCTAGGAAGTTATGGGAGAAATTACTGGACAAATCCGGGATCAGGTGGGCATTTCCTGCTCATTGTAATTCCTTTATGCTGGAACACACAGTGGGGTTTGGGTTAAATAAAATGGCCAAAGAAATGTACAGTCATTGCAATTTTTAGAATGATTTGGATGGAGGGGAATGCTAGGATTCTTGAAGAGAGAGAAGTGGACACGGTTGACATTTTTTAGATTATGGGTGGCAACAATAAAGTTTTTAAAGATTTTCCTTTTTTATTAATTGTTCATAATTGGAGGGATGTGATCAGTCATTAGTTTTTATTCATTTTGCTTTGACTTGTTTGTATTTTTTGGTTTTTTTCTGTTAGAGGATACCTTATCCTCTTCCCCTTCTACTTGATGCATTATCAATATAAGGCTTTTTCTTATAAAACAAGAAAAAACTCCTGACACGTAGAAGCCTTCTGCAGATTTTCCGCTTTTGTAGATCGAAATGTCATAAGAACTTCAAGATGAAGAGGAATCCTCGTAAAGTAAGATGGACTAAAGCATTCAGGCGTTTACATGGAAAGGATATGACACAGGTCTATATGCTTGGTTTTTATTTTGCTTACTAGTTTTGTACTTGTCTCGTACTCATATTTCTTATTTTACGGTGTCTATGGTCTCAGTGGGTGTAAAGATTTGGATGGTAATCAGTTTTCCTTTCTTTTTTCTTTTCCAGGACTCGACCTTTGAATTTGAAAGGAAGCGTAATAGGCCAGAGAGATACGATAGAAATCTGACTGAAAACACTTTGAAGGCCATCAAGAAGATTAGTAAAGTCAGAGCTGATAGGGAGTCCCTACATCATAAGAACAGGTAACTTTTTTTGTTTTTGCTTTTTATTAGTTCTTGGAAAAGCATGATAGTAGGGGGTGTCGTTGTTTCGAATTTGATTGAAATCTTCTTCCAGATTAAAAGGGAAGAAGTCCAAGGAACTCCGCGAGGCATACAAGGAACTGCAACAAGACATCGGGCTTATCAATCCATCTATTCTCAAGAGAGACCCATCTCTCGCTCTTCCTATCAAGGTCAAGATTACCAAGAAACAAGCACAGGCTCAACCAATGGAAGAATGAGCGTAAAAATCTTCTTGTTGGTCGTATCTTTTTACTATTCTCTTAAGTATTCTATCTCCAAATGTTTCATCATCTGTTCAATGTTCGGGAAATGCTTCATGTGTTTGATGCTAAAATTTTGTAGGGATTAACGTGTTATGTAGAACGTGAAGAAGTGAGTTTTTCTGTCTTTATCTATATGGAATATTTTTTCATATTGTGTTGCTGATCCTGATATGCTATTTGGAGGAAGCAGCTTCATTAGATGCAATCTGTGGGTTGTGACTATTCGCATTGTTCCATTCATTTTTTTTCCTTGTTATTAATGTTCTTTATTTTCAAACTAGACCAGATACAAGAAATACTGGGTAGGTTTGCTAATTACTTGCCAATCCTTGTGCCAATTTGCTAGGGCTTTCATCGGGCCGGGGAATTTTCTTGTCTCTCCTAGACGCCTTTAGAGATTGTGCATTATTAGAAGTTTTTTTCGATTTTTTTTTCATTTGACAGTTCTCACATTTTCGTTGGCCTTTCTTTTCCCCTTGTGTTTGGTCTTGCCATTTACAAAAGATTGTAATTTCCTGGAAAAAAAAAATAGTTCTCCTTAAATTCTTAGCACTAACTATGTACCCTATTCGATTTTGAAAATGTTTCTTAGCCAGAGAAGGAAAAAAAATTGAAATTATTTCAAATTTTACCTATTAGCGCCTGATTTGTGTGAGTGATTTTGATTTTGAATTTAAATTTTGTGAGAGAATCTAATTGGTGGGAACTTTTTTATTTAAATTTTTTATAAGAAAAATATTGTATCATAATTAGAATCATGAGTTTGAATACGTGAATTAAATGCGTCCTTTACTTTTAAGAAGGAAATAAGCATGTGGCTTGTACAACAAGTCCTTTTTGTAAAAGGCATTTATGTAATTTTAACATTTATGGCTAAAGTTATTAGTGAAAATTAAAACATAGAAACTTAGTAAAGTTGACAAGACAAAAACTAAATAAACAATACTAATTTATTGCTAAGAATAAATAGTACTAATTAAACATATTAAAGTTTTGTTCAATTCGTCGATTCGAGTTTTCAATTCGAGTTAAGATGTAATTTTATATAAGAGTGTTTAACTGTAGCAAAAAAGTTAGATGTAATTTTTTATGAGAGTTTTTAACTGTAATAAAATTAAAATTGAAAACTGAATCGGTAAAATGAATGAAGCCTAAAAAATTACTAAAAAACTCTCTCTCTGTACCGTCATGGGGGGTGTTGGACGTCGTCTAGGGGATAAGGAGTTCCAGTGTGGTGACAAATAGTACTACTACGAGTAGGGCATGCGTGGAGTCATATCAGACATTAGCAAAACAAATTTCATTTTCACCATGGCCTTAACTATGATGCCTTCGACCTCGACATTGTTAGGGTTTTCGAAGCCTTCAATATGAAGATGTTTCTTCTTCAAAACATGACGAAGTCGTTGATTGTTGTTGAGGATCTAGACCACTTTAACTGGAAAAATCTTCGCCAGGGGCTTTTTTGGGGCGTTGAACTTCACAACAGAATAATCTCTTGCAAGAACTGACACTAACGTGAATTTGGTTTTTTCTATCTAAGAAATTTGATTAGGGAGAGATTTTACAAACCTCAATATTAAAGTTTGGCTACTACATTAATATAGTTATATATAAATAAGCTAAATTTCAGAAAAAACTTTTAATTAAATTATTGTTGTCAAAAAAGTATTTTTTTACCTTATTTCACTCTATAAATCATCTTTAAAAAAAGGGGAGGAAATTTAAAGTTTGGAGGTGTAATTTATTCTGCTGCATTAGTGGTAATTTTATTGCAAATTTATTTTCTCATAACAAATAGATGGTCGAAGATTTTGAAACTCAAATTTGTTGTCTAATTTTGATGTGTTAATTAGTGTCTAACTAATCAAATCATGTCACGTCATGTAAAAAAATAGATTGTTTTTTAATTTACTCTTTATGTTTATCATGAGATGTTGTGATATGATTTAATTAGTGAGAGACCAATTAAGACCAAAAATTATACAGCACATTTAGATCCAAGGTTTTGAAACGCGTGATTATCCATAGAATTTTACTAAATCGGTACATAAAAAAGTTAAATTACGCTCCGTTCATTTCACCGATTCGAGTTTAGAATTTGAGTTTTGCTACAGTAAGAAGCTTTCAAAAACAGTCACATATAACTTTTTTACTACAATAAAAAGCTCTTAAATAAAGTCACATTTCAACTCGAATTAAAAATTTGAATCAACGAACTAAAC